GTTAAAACCACACTAGATCAATTGCGAATTTGAGATGTCATAAGTATTTTAGGCTATGCAATCAAATAGTCTCCCAGGATTTTACACAGTGCTAGTTAAGAAACCAAATTTTCATCTTACATTTTGCAAGCTGTCACCTTATATACAGTATATCAGAAAACTTGCCATGACTGGTTTTACTGCCAGACCTCTTAAGAGCTAATTGGTTAAGCACCTGGGCAGGAAGTTTTTGGCAGAAATGCTGTTTTCTGCAAGGATTAGCTATAAAGTTCTGGATGGCAAATTGTGATCATTAAGGCTCCCTCTTCTACAACAGAACACATAAAATGTAAATACATTGCTTGGAGAAATTACGATGCATAAAAGGACGGGCTGTGTTTTAAGTTTATCCAGTGACTTATGGCTCAAATTTGAACATGGAAAGGATCTTATGCTTTTTTCAGAGTGAAGCTTTCAGCAGACTTCTCTAATTCCACACAAAAAAATGAGACACATCTGTTTGCATCCACTAAAACTATTATTTGAATGTACAAATGTTGAGTATACAAAGAGATGTTGCAAATACAGTGACTCACACCGGTTTATCAAGCACAGGGATTTTGTACTTGAAAAGTAATTTCCACAAACTTTTTTTTCAGTTGTAGATTGGAAGTTGTGCTGAAAATTTGTCCCCAGGAAATTGTATGTTTCTTGGTATTGTGTGAAAAATCATAGCATATTCAGCTGCCTGGAATGAGTTTAGTGCAGTGGTTTGTGAAAATACATTTGAATTCCAAACAATGTTTTGGGCTGATTTTGTTGGTGGAATTTTTTATTGCTTGTTATTCATAAGCATTGTTATGAATGCAATTACTTCTCCATTTGTGTTGATATCTGATATGTTTGGTTCTTTTTGGACAGAATATTCAGAAGAGCCATATGCCAACTTTCTCTACAATTCGCCGAGAGGAGAGGAGGTTTCTAATTTGCTCAAAAATACTGGAGTATTCTTTTACCATAAATTTGCTCCTTTATAAATATTAGCTCTCTGTAAATACATCTTTTCATACACAGACAGGAATATACAATAGTCTTTGTGGTCCTAGGCAGAAATAATGTAAATGTATGACAATTTGTTTTCAGGTTACTTCATTTTACTTGTGACTGTTAGTTGTTACTTATCTATTTCCATAATTTAGATTTAAATTTGAACTCATTTAGATGCAAATGCTAATTTTTGTGCTTTAATTTTATACACACAAATTGTCTTGTTGAACTCAGTGAAACTACCCACATCCTTAAAGTTAAAGCAGATGCATAGATTTGCAAGATCTGGAGAGCTGAAAGGAAATAATGTGATTTAAAGACGGATCACACACTGCTAGTAATAAATAGCAAATAGTTGGCTTTATACAGAATAGAGAGAACATCTATCTATGCATTTTGAAATATCCTTGGCATAATTTGTAATACAAATATCAAATGCCCATGCTGTTGTAATTAAGCTCCAGTAACATCAGGCTCTCAATAAGAAGAATAAAAAGTGGGAAATTTCCCCCTCACACTCAGTTAACAATCTTCATGCTTCTTCCTCAGTTTCAACTCTGTGGCCGGGTGGTCGGGGAAGTGCGTTACAGCCTGCCAAAGAGGTGGTTGAATACGGCCTCTTTTAGACCAAAGCAGAGAATCCTTCCCCCAAGATAATCCCCTGCCAGTTGCCTCCTCCGAGAGCTGTGCCAGAGCAGTGTGGGCTAGTCTCCAAGGGAGCTGGGGGCTGCTCTTGGCTCTGCCTCTGCCCAAAAACGTCATGCCACCCGTGTGGGGATCCGTCTTGGGATCCAAGAGATGCATTCTTCTCTTTTCCCTATATACTTTGCATACGCTTAAGGCTAAGTTTTGCCATTGTGCAAGTATGTGCATAAAGTAGCTTTAGCTGAAGAACAGGCCAGAGGACACTGGAAAAATAAGAGCATTGATTAAGTAAGAATGCCCAACTTGATTTCTTAGCGAGTCTTCCTCTTTTTCTCTCCTGTTTTTACCCAAACCCCAGCTTTGCTGAGGAATATGAAAATTATTGGATGTTAGAGAAACTGGCATAACGTGGTAGCAATGATAGTCATGATTTAAAAGAGCTCCTGGGGAGGTTAATTGTGCAAAAGGCTTGAATAAGAAGTGATCAAGATGTGATCTTTATTAATTACAAATATTTGCACAGCCTAACTACTAGCAAGGGAGAAATACTGATTTTCATAACAGAGAAGAATATAAGAGGGAGTAGAGAGACAAAAATAAGAAACAAATGATGTAGAGTGGTTATCTGGGGCAACAACTGAGTTTACAAACACTCTTTGATAACAGAATGATCTCAATTGTACTACTAGCAGGCTTTGTGTTTATGAGTTTAAAGGTAGCATTTACAAACTTTGTGCTGACAAATACGAGGAAACAAACTTTTAATGACATGGAAAAAGATGGCATGAATTGGCCTGTTCTAATTTCCTAATTCCTATGTCTTAGGAACAGATATTGGAAGGTATTACCTGTGGTAGAAACCACTCCAGCAAATTTAGGCATCTAGGTTGTGCCTATATTTCAAGTTCTCAGCAATGATGCTGCCATAAAAGTGAGTCATTTCCCTGTGAAACCATTAAAGGGAGATTCTGTCTGCAAATTTAAGAACTCCTCACATTGAGCATGTGAAGATTTGTACATCCGCATTTTTTTGTGGCGCAGAAGAAAGAACTACACAGCTGGGAGCTACGTGGAAAGGGATGTAGGGAAGCTGTAGAAATGGGAAATTGTGATATGATACAAATGAACAGACTCCCAGTTCATATGCTAGACGTGTCCTGCTAGGTTTAGTTCAACAAGGGGAACTACAAGTCCTGGTCCTGGAAGAGAACAACCCCAGGCACCAGAATATGCTGGGGCCACTTAGCTGGAAATCAGTTTGGAGGTCCTGGTGAACACTAAGTTGACCATGAGCCAGCAATGTGTCCCTGCTGCAGAGAAGGCTGGTGGTACCCTGGGCTGCATCAGGAGTGTTGCCAGCAGGTCAAGGGAAGTGATGCTGCCCCTCTGCTCAGCATTGGTGAGGCCACACTTGGAGTACTGCGTCCTAGGTCTGGATTCCTCAGGACAAGAGAGACATGGACGTATTGGAGAGAGTCCAGTAAAGGGCCACAGAAAAGATTAAGCAACTGGAATGTCTCTCCTATGAGGTAAGGCTGAGAAAGCTGGAGCTCTTCAGCCTGGAGACTCAGAGATGTCTCATCAATATATACAAATTTCTGAAGGGAGGGTGCAAAGAGGAAGGAACCAGGCTCTTTTCAGTGGTTGCAAGTGACAGGACCAGAGGAAATGGGCAAAAACTGAAACACAAGAGGTTCCCTGTGAATATCAAGAAATACTTTTTCACTGTGAGGGTGACCAAGCACTGTCACAGGTTTCCCAGGAATGCTGTGGAGTGTTCATCCTGGGAGACAAAAGCTGTCTGGACAAGGTCCTGGGCAACCGTGTCTAGGTGGCCCTGCTTGAGCAGGAGGGTTGGGTCAGATGACCTCCAGAGATCCCTGCCAAACTCAGCCAGTCTGTGATCCCATGATTCTGTGAAAGGCACCACTGTTTTGAGCTGGGAGCTAGTCAGGTTATTTTGGGTCAGTATTGGTTTGGATTTAAAACTTTGACTGGAAAATATCAACACAGAGGAAGAAAATGTCCATCATTCCTTTGTTGAACTTCCCCTCTTTTGCACCCTACCTGGCAAGTATATTTACTAGGACTTCAAAATAATAATCAGTAATATTAATAACTTACAATTAGAGCTATTTTTGGTGCCTGTGCTTGAATTCAGCTTGACTCTCTGACTTAAGAGGGCATTTTGGATGCCAGGAGTGGCAAGAAGTAACACAGACTCTTAATCAGCTTGCAACTTCATCTGCAAGATCACTTCCCTTTTCCAGCTGGTTAGGATGCTGAAAGAGGTCATACAGGACATGAAACACTACCACTTGCCTGGAAGGCTAGATCTCTGCTGGCTGTAAATCAGCTTGATATCCAGAGGTATAAGAAAGCTGGTCAATAGCCTTCACAATATGGGTCTTTTTGAGTCACTTATGATTTAGCAGATCCTACTTAAAATTGTAATATGAAAAAACTCACATTTGCGAAGAAAAGCCTCCTCTCCCTGATCATACACACACACACACACACGCCCCAACTCATATTTTTGAGTAATGGTTCTGCCTGCAGACACTGCACAGACTGTTGCGACGTCGAGGCTGTGTGCTGGGATGGAGATCTGGATCTGCTCAAGCTCATCTGAATAATTTCTAGAGGAGTCAACTGGACCTTCTCAAAATACAGCTTCTCCAGGGCAAAGGTTTTGAATGGGAGGCTAATCGCTGATGTGTGTTGTTTTGTAGCTGAAACTTTTCCCATTGCACTTCTGTGTTAGAAGCTGGAATTTGGCTTCCTGTCTGCCCAGTTTCTGCCTGAAGCAAAATTTTTATGGCTGGGCTGTGAACCCCTTAGTGGAGATGGTTGTAAAAGAAAAGCTTACAGCCTTTTTAACTAATTGTGTCCTTATGAGTGATTACCATAATTTTTTGAATTTATTTTTAAAATTTTTGTCACCTCTGATCCCACTCCATGTCCCTAAGTGAGTTGGAGCTGGGGTGTGAGCATAAGATACGGTGCTAAAAATACAAAAAAAAAAGATGCTGGGAAAAGATTTTACAGCTTTAACAGTTTCCCACTCCCCAGGCTTTGGATTAGGTCCTCACAGACCAGTTAGAAAGGGAAGGGATGGCGAGGTCACTAAGATGCTAATGATCCTTTTCCCAATGGAAAAGTAATCTTATATGTAAGGCAAAATAATTCTCAATCCCCTTACAACTAGCAGGTCATTTTTAAAATTCATTAGTCATAAAAAAGTGTATATTTATCTCTGGTAATAAAAAAAAATCTCATAGATTAATCACTTCTGAGAATGCCAGAATGTAGTTTTTGTGAGACTACACTCAAATCTGCAATTTCACAACTATTTTTGATGACTTTTCCCCCATTCCATGGACAAGTACCTTTTCTACATGTGCTATGTGGCTACTGTATTGTTCCTCATAAAAATCAAGGGAACACTTTATGCCTCTCATGACCATTATATCTTACCTGAGCATTTTTGAGGTCTTTCTGGTACCTGAGCAGTTTCTTCAGCAATAAGCAATAAGAAGCCATGGCAGAAGAGGGTCTGTTATTTATTAAAATGTTGATAACTTCTGAAGGACTGAATTCCATAAATTCCGTCATGTAGTTTAAAACAACAGAGTTCAGGTCACTGGGGCAAAGTCTGAAAAATTAGGAAAAAGTATTTAAATACAAATGATGCATCCAGGTACAATGTCAGAATTTACAGTAAGTGGACAATACACTTCTTGTGATGTAGTTGGAGTAAGCTAAGTTGATTGTACAGGCAAACTATGACACACAGTTGTGCAATGATCCTCTTGTCTGGCTATGCTAACTTCATTTCTGGGCTGAGGCTCTGTTACTGCATCATTAAATGTTCTATTGTTGATTGAATTGATTACTCTGAAAGAACGCCCACCAGGATTAAGCCCGAAAAATTTTCTCATTTTAATCAATGTGTATATTTCAGTTCTCAGTACAGTAGCCTGAAATGGATTAACAGAGACATAGTGTGTGTGCATGGACATAAGAAGACAGGAAGAGTGCCAAAGACAGGAAAATCTTGAAGAACAAAAAAAGAATTAAGAAAGTACAGTGGCATTTTAATTTTTATATAAATCAGATTGCGAAATAAAACATGTTTTGTTACAATGATAATTGCTTTACTCACAGACTTCTGTGAGTAGTAAAGTCTAGTAAAGGCACTGTAGAAATATGTCAGTCTTGGATTCTGAGACTCCTAATCTTAAAACCATAAAACCATAAAGTGCCTTACTAAGAAAAATTGGAGGCTATTTAAAGCCAGTTACAAAGATGGATGAGAATAAAAATTATTAGAATAACAGGAACTTCAGTGTAATATAAAAATGTTGTTCCCTCAGGTGGGCATGTGAGACCTAGTTTTGTAGGAAAGGATTAGAAGCACACTGTCTGGAAATTAGTGGCAGCTGTGAGGTATGTTGAGGAAAAAAATTACTGATGCAATGGATATAAGCAATTCTATAAGGGTGTTTCTTCTTACACAAAATTTATCCATGGTTAGAAAAGTTGATATGACATTTTCTGAAACAAAATTCTGTCACTTTGGAACAGCCCATAGTAGATAACAAAAATATCATAAAACAAACAAGCAAACAAACAAATCTTAAACACACTTCCCTCCCAAATCCCCAGTCCTGAAATCCCAAGCTAGAAGATAGATATCAAAATGGTTACCTGTTCTCATAGGGAGCAGTGTTTAGTATTTTCCTGATGAAACCCTCATTCAACCATTTGTCTTTTATTGCTTCTTTGACTTCAGGCCTCTTAGCAGGGTCAGGCTCAAGTAAGGACTGCATGAAGTGTACAGCTCCTGTGCAATATTACAATGCAATGGTCTGTTTACTAGTAATAGTTGATTATCAGACCAGTACATATTTTTTATGTTTCAGAAGTGTGGCACTTGCCCTACTTCTCCACATCGTAGAGCTTCAGATAAAATTCAGTCTCTAGGGCTTTACTCTGAGTCTGCCATGGTCCCATATAGTGACTCTGTCCCCTCAAGGTCACCTGAACAGGGTGGGCAGCAGGAGCCAAACCTTGCCAGGATGCATGCCAGGGACCTATGGATGCTGCTGTAGATACAGTACTGGACCTCATTTCCTAATTTTCTTGATTTACCCCAGTGAATGCAGCCTATGGCATCAGTAGTAATCTCATTATTGTGCTCACTCAGCATTTGATGAAGGCTTTGGGAAGGGGTATTTCAGAGCTAGCTGAAGTTATTTAACCCAGGAGTTCTTTTCCTCACACAAAGAAGCCAATTGTATTGATAAAACTCTCTGTAACAAGGGAAGGAGATGGACCCCTGCGCTCAGCTGATGTGTTGTGCTTTGGCTTCCTGGAGTTGGGACAGAGAAAGCTCAAACATTCCTATATGTCAATCATTCAGCTCCAACACTGCATAAAGTCCCCCTCCTTTTTTTCTTCTTGGGAAAACTTTACTGAATTCTATATTCCTTGGGGATGTTTTGAACCGAACAAAGTGGCAAGTGAGCATTAAACTGGGAACGTACTGCTCCTTTCAATTGTAATCTCCATTGGAAGAACTTAGATCTAAAGTAGGCAAAGCTAGTTCACTACTGCCCTCTCACTAAATTCCCAATGGGCAAGAGAACAATGGAGTTATCCACAATCTTCCACCAACTGTGTGGGTTTTGTAGAAAAGCAGAGATAATGCATTTATTAGTAGAAGCTATAACAATAACATAAATAAGAAAAATTAGAAATATAATAATTGCAGCTATGGAGGGATTGTACAAGAATCAAGCTGCTATCTGGCAACTGATCTCCAGAGAAAGAAAATGAGAGACTAATGTACAAACATTCTTGACAGCTATGGTAGATATCCTAATACCACTTACTAGGGGAGAGAAAGAAATCGAATCATCACATTATCTTAATATTGTACTCCAGACTAGATCCAACTAGCTTAGTCTGGAACTGTCCGCTGCTCCCCAGTGCTTGGCTGCAGGCAGCCACTGAAGCTAATCTTGGTTCCTAGGCTCATTCTTGCCTGACTTCATAGCAATGCTGTTCAAAATGATGGGGAGATCTGAACTCTTGCCGGTAGATAGCTGTGCTAAACATATCTCGTTCTGCTCTGCTTTTTGACTTGGTCAGTGAAGCTGTACGACAACAGCTGTGAGAAGGTGCCTAAGCTTGTGATGGTCGACAGAGGAGATGCTGCTCCAGGTGGAGAGAAAATAAGAATTAAAGCCAGAGGTGTATAGGAATCATTGTAAAGCAGCAGAATTTTGAGTTTTGAGGAAATAAATTTTGGATTGCTGACCGATAGTGCATACACACCAATGTGACTTCTAGGGTTTAGAGCCATGGATTGTAATTCAGGCTAGAACTTTTGAGAACTGTCTTTCCCAGTTGTCCCAAAAGACTCCATTGACTGTACCTCATTAAAGATTGTCAGTAAAATTCATTGGAAAATGTTGTAGTTCAGTTCTTTCTCATGAAAAATATGAACAGACTCTTCACAAAAATAATCCTCCCATTTCTTTAATAATCTCAATGTCATGAGCTCTGTCAGTAGCCAAAAGATAAGGTCTTCAGGAAAAAAATATTTAAGGTTTTGATAACTTATTTCTGAGAAAAACAGGAAAGAATGCCTGACTATGACACATAGCATGGGACATACTAAACATGACAGCGTTCTCATTTACTGCACAATGGCTCCACTTATGTAAAAGCAATGTACATTTTATTCCCCCTGTAAATAAAACCCAAGAATAATGGTCTTTTGAAGATACAACAATGTTATTTTCCTACTAGCCTGAGATAAAGTGATATTGCCTTAGGCTCAAAAACGTTATTTCTAAATGCAAACAAAGCAACTGGAAAAAGTACCTGTTATTTTCCAGAAGATTGCATTACTGTTAAATTCACTTTATTGCATGGGTTAGAACATCTTTACATTGGTATTCTTTATAAAAATTGAAGTACTTTACCAGGGGAGATATCTGACGGAATAGGGCTGATTTCTCCAGTTAATATCTTTTGATGTAGTTGCTTGATATTAAAAGGTTCCACAGTGAAGGGTAATGTGCCGGTTAGCATAGCAAACATGCTTACGCCTCTGTCAAAGACAAAACCAAGCATCAGAGCTCCATATAATGCTAATAAATATTTATTTAAAAATTCCACACACTTTTGAGTCAGTTTTCAGAGATCTGCCTTCAGCATCAAGAATGAGGTTACAAATTGCCTCTAAGCAGCAATTTGTACTGAATATACATCTAACGCCTTTTTTCTTTGTGTAAATGCCATTTTATCTTGAAAAGAATGTTGTGGGAACTGCGTATGAAATAGAGTGTACAGTGAGTGACTGGAAAGCCTGCAGTGCTGAAAGTGGAAACCTGCTGTTTATTTTAAAAATAAGCTAATTGGAGTGACAGTGTAATGTACCCAGCCCATCAGAATAAAGCACTTTGGTTTGAAGGCTGAGTGACAACACAGAACTGGGACTGATGCAATAGATCTTGTTCCAAATAGTAATTCAGTTCTTCTTGCTTTGCTCAGATTGCTAAATTAGGTGTGACTTATGCCTAGAAGGCATTCGTGTGGTAACAGCTTGCTGTTGGCTAAAGACTTAAAACTTTAACTCTTGCGAAAGATTAACAGTCTGCTAGCAGCAATCAGCAAACTTTGTGAAGGTTTGCCATTCAGTTTGGGGAAGTACCAACATTTGGAAAACTTACTTAGCTGTCCTGAGTTTGTGAAGAGGGAGGTTTCCTTGAACACTCTTCATGGTATTTCCTTTCTCCAGCTGAACCACACCACCACAACAGCACTGTTCTTCATCGTAGAATGAACCATACAACGGCCTGGTTTGGAAGGGAGCTTAGAGATCATCTAGTTCCAACCCCTCTGCTGTGGGCAGGGACACCTTTCACTAGACCAGATTGCTTAGAGCTCCTTTCAACCATCCTTTACCATTTCTCTACACAACTCAACAGAGATAGTCATTTTAGGAATTCAGGCAATTCTAATTTAATTGACCTGGTGGGTACATTAGTGGAGATGGCGACAATGTTATCTGTAAGACAATCTGTGGTGTGCTCAACTACAATCTTCTATTAATGTTTTCAAACAGTTGAAAAACCATGATAAAACCATTGAAAAACGAGAGAAGATGGTGTCATCTTTTTCTAAATGTTACATTGGATTACATTTAGACCACTGACCTATGGATAAACGTTTTTTATTAATCTTGACTAGGATTTATCTTGTCTCACTTTAACCATCTAAACCCTAGGTATCAATAGTTATAGTGGAAAGAGACAGGCCTCTCCAAGAGACATTCATCATAACATTATTATACAGTTGTTTTAGGCTACAATTAAGTGCCTCCATGCACTGACTAATAGAACACTAACTACCTGGTATAACCCAATGCCTAGTTTTTAAATGGATAAATTTAGGGAAGATCAATCTCTTCTCGCTTTACCAAACCTTCTGATAAATCTAGTCCTTGAAAGTAAAGTTTTTTAAAACTTTTGGATGAATCCTTTGAGTAAAAAACCCCAGAGACAATAAAAAATGCTACAAGGAAATGACATTGAGTTGACGGAAGTAACAAGTATTTTTGTTCTATAATACATAGTAGCATATGGACTAAATACTGCTGAAGTTGGAGAGAGAGAAGGCTCCCTGAATACTCTCTGATGAGAGGGAGTACCATGCAATACAAATGGCTGTATAATGTCATTACAAAGTTAAAAATGTTTTTCTTTGTAACACTACAAACATTACCATGCACTTTAAATTGCGAATGATATACATGACTGTTGACTTAAAACTGCAATAGCTCTTTTCATTAGCCTATTGGATGGGGAAAGCTCAAAGGTATGGGAATTTGGGGAATGGACGGAGCTGCTGTCCTAGAATCTGTTTTAAAATATTGCACACAATTGTAGCTAGTTAACAGCAACAGTAACAGGACACTTGGTATTTAATTGTAGATGGAATCTGATGGTTGAACTTAAAAGTTTATTGGTTAAAACAAACTGCTTCTCCTCTGTCCTATGGAGCTGTGTGAATGTGGATTTGTTTGAATACAACAGCTGTTTCCTCAATATAGCTGGTGCATGAAAGCTAATCACTTTCTAGTTCTCCAAAGAACCATTAATATCTTCTGCATGAATGTCATGATTAGGCAAACAGGTACTGTTTAGGCAAACAGGCTGCTTACTGTTGTGTCTCCAGAGCCTGAGCTGTATTGCAGTTGAATCTGGTTGGTTTTGTGAGTGTGCTTTTGACTGACCACAGCTTTTTGGTTCCTGTTTTAATGACTCCTTGTCAGTTCTGCTGCATAAAGTCAGTATTTCTGTACTGCACTATTTTGATTCTAGAGTCCAGCAAATCTGTAATCCTCTACTTATTTTGTTAAAATAGAAGTAACTTATCTTTCTAATTAATATATTAGTCCATCAGAATTCCCTTTCCCACTATGATAATGTGAAAAATTTTAATTTAAATGGTAAATATATTTTGTGCCTGAGGTGCAGAATCTGTCTGCATTAAACACCAAGGGCCATACATAAGTTTTATAAAGCCCTCAAACTGTTATATGCTGTTTATTAACAGAGTGAGCTTAGTAGGTGGTTCTAAGATTACTGCTTTGCCCTTACTCAGAAATCTGAAATGTGAATTCAGTATTATCCTGTTCAAGTGCTGACAGCATCCTCTAGACCTGATTAATCTGTGTTATGCCTACATAAATTCGGAGTAGTACTCTTGAAAACCAGAATTACACAGAATTTATTTGGTAGCATGCATCCCTTCATCCTTAACTCTGTGTACCATTCATACCCAGTAAATTTAGAAGAAGCTGAGGTATAAGAATCATGGTTAGATCAAAACCCTAATATATAGTATGTCTGCCAGAAGCAGGTCTTGAGAGGAATAATGTACGTTATATATCTATATGTATATAAATCCTTTTTCTCTTTTGAACATATAGGAAAACTAAGCTTCTGTTTCAGGCACCTGAACCAGATGCCTACATGTAGGTACCAGCAGCCCTGCAGAGCAAACTAAAACATTTCCTCCTCTGTGAACACCCGGTTTGGTGAAAGCTTCTGAGAACTCCTCAAGGAGACTCTGTATTCTCACAGCTGGACAGGCAAGTGCAATGTTCCAGTTCAGAGCAGCTCTGTACATCCAGGTTTTCCTTTCCTTTTGGCACATGTCCTGAATGAAGTGGTTTAAATCAAATGCAGCACTGTGTGTTGAACAGAATTGCAGAATGGTTTGTGTTGGAAGGGACCGTAAAGATCATCAAGTTCCAACATTTCTGCCATAGTCAGGGTCACCTTTCACTAGACCAGGTTGCCCAAGGCCCAATCCAGCCTGGCCTTGAACATTTCCAAGGATTGGACATCCACAGCTTCTCTGGGCAACTAAATAAGTAATGTTCCAGTAGCAGAACATTAAGATCTTTTAAAACAATATTTTTCTCGGGTAGGATGGGAGGTGGCACTTCTAAGGCAAAAAGTCATATTACTCTTAAAAGCCTTTTGAGCTACTCGAAATTCATGGGCTTTAACCATTAGCTTCAATGGCTGGATTTTCACTCTACCACTTATTAGCCAGGATACTGCAAGGAGTTATGGTTATAATTGCAAATAGGTGGGAGGAATCTGGATGAAGGTGCATTTGAGCAGCCACTGATTTTTCTAATCTTAATGCTCTAGGTAAAGATTTGGTTTAGTTTTTACATTACACATGCTCATCTTCTATGCCCTGAATCATACTTGCTAGAAATAGGCTTAAAAATGTGTCCTAGGTGGAACACTCAGACCTGGGCATACAGTTACTGTTAAAACAGCTGAAGTTGATACCCTGGCACATATACATATATATATACACACATATAGATGAATATGAACTGCCTTTGGACAAATGATGACATGGACACAGAGAGTTGATCCGTGAAGATCAAAGGATACAAAAATCAACTTAATATACTATCATTTTGCCAGCTCCACCTAGAAAAAAAAATGTAAAAACCCCCATAACTTGGCTGCTAGAACTACAAACTGCAAATACATTTGAAATGTCTGAGATCGTTTATGTGAAAGCTTACTCTTCTTATGGCACCTTCTGTATTCTTGCTTATTATAGGAGACATATTCTGTAGGTTTAATAAAAAAAGTAAATGGATTCCATTCAGGTTTATGTCACCTATGAAGGAAATAATTCTACCTTTTTATCATAATTTGGTACAAAAGGCCTAGCTAAGATACGGATGAAGGTCTCATAGCTCTGCTATAGACACATCCTTGGTTTGTGTGTCCCTGAAACTCAAATTTTCTGTATAGATTTCTTCTTTTGGCAAAAGATACCTTAGACAGAAAATGCCCACTTGTCAGCCCAGGACTTTCAAGGTTTCTGATTTTGTCAGAAGTTACTCTGCTACCAGCTGAACCTATGTGCCAGAAGGACAGGAAGGTGGCAGGGTTCACCTGAAGGGGTTGGTACGTACAAGTTCTTTCTCTGGCTTTTCAGTACAGGTTCCTATATGCAGACATCTGACCTTCTTCTGACTTCACTTGACACAGGATTCCTCCAGAATAACATGTGTATTGATCTTTCATTTTTTTCTCCAGTTTTTTGCAAATGGATGTACATTTCAAGATGCTCATGTTTATTTATATATCTTTGCTTTTGCCGTTGATGCCCCAAAGCTGAGAGCCATGAACCCATTTACATCAGTCTTGCCTAAACAATTCAGTGCTGAGAGTGTTTTGATAAGTACATTTTTAGATCTACTTACATGGACCAGACATCTACTTTTGGACCGTATTTCCTATGAGCAAGGAGTTCTGGAGCAGCATAAGCTGGGCTTCCACACTGGGTATGTAACAGCTCCTGGGAGAGACCACTGAACTTTGCAGTATTGCTCAGTCCAAAATCTGACGGTCACAAAAGCAAAGGCAAAGAAGTTTTAGTCTCTTCTCAAATTACTTTCACTTTACCAATTATCTAAAGACAGGAGAAAGACAAAACCAGCAGCTAGCTGTAACATCTATTGATGTCTCAGCTGTAGATGCCAATTTGGGTTTGAATAAATGTGCTGTGAATTAGCAGAGGAATTACAGTGCAGTTACACAGCCATGTATCTGGTTTGGTTGATTTTGGTTTAACTGTTTTGGTTTGCCTCTGTTGACTGCATGCTAGTACAAAGCTACACAGTCACATTAGCACGGCTTAATGAGCCACGGCATTAGCTCAGCTGGGTGTGCTTTAGCTCATGGTAGATGTGGGATAAAATGTGCTAACTTAAGCCTTTTTCTCTGTATATGTGCATGTGTGCAAGGGGGAGGGAAGAGAAAGGTGTGATTGTAAGGGACTGGCTGGCTATAAAACAGGGGTGAAGAGTTGGTGCCCTTTTTTCTCAGAGGTGCTAAGCTTTTAAAAGTTTGGGAAACACTGGGTTAAACATGTGACTTCTCTAAGTGTTAGCATCCCTTGTGGAGATTTTTCTGTGGGGTTTCCACAGAATAGAATTAGTTGTTTCTCTGAACTGTGTTAACTGCTTGATGCAAATTCTCTCATTTTTATCAATGTTTGCTTCACAATCTTAGCAAGATTTCTGTTGGTGACCAAAACAGTATTTTTTTTTTTTAACACATACCAATGAAATAATGACTCAACATAAACTAATATGTTCATACCTGCATTTCAACTAGAAGATTTATTTCTTTGTCTACAAATCACTTCTGCTAGGAACAGCTTTCTACACATAAAAGCTGTAATTGTTTCTTGCTTGTCCAGAAATACACAAGGGAAAATAATAGGCAAAATTGTTTTCCTTGTTCTCTTAAAAATATATTTTGGTTAAAGCTCAGATAAACAAGCTGTTAAACTATACTTCATAACTTTTATCTATTCTAGAAGCTCAAATATGTTTACTGAATAATCACAAGCTCACTTATAAAACATGCTGTTTGAATAGTAACCAAATTGTCACTGAAAGACATACACGCACACACACAAAAGCAGAATACAAGCTTTGCTGATAGTGTGCACCTACCAATGATTTTGATGTTGTTGTTCTCATCAAGAAGAAAATTTTCAATTTTTAGGTCCCTGAGAAGACAGAAAGCAAACTTTAAGATGCCTGATGTCCCAGCTAACCATTTGCAGATAGTTTTTAGCAAAGTTTAATTAAAATAATAACAATAGCTCTGCACAGCTCAGCCTACAATTGTAACAAGATCCTTATTCCTTCCTGAAGTTTTCAGTTGGGAAAATGGAAACTTTCTGTATTTCAGGGAATATTTTATGAGTATACACAAAAAGACTGTTATTTTAGAAATTATCTGTTCTGCTAATTTATACATTTTTTTAAATGTATTTATGTCTTCTTTTGAGTAAAAAATTTGCACTTATTGGACTAGAGGTTTTTGGGCTTTGTTTGAAGTACTGAGCAATGCTGAACATTTCTGATTTCTTTGTGAATAAATTGTGCCTGGGAAATAAGAGGGATGAGAAGGGAACTGGAAAGTGAGGTTTGCCTTGCTTGCAGAAGAGGGGAGGTGTACCAAAGCTGGTTCGGAGACAGATATCCTGAAAGTGGAGATATCTCTGCAGTGATGTTTATGTTAACAGGGTCAACCAGTATCAGCCATCCACTCCCAGGAGGACATAATCCAGAGATGTAAGAAAAACTCTGTTAGCTGGCTCAGGTACTCAGTTGCTCATTGTGGGAATATTTATATATTTATAAATTAAAACCCAAAGCCAGAATATTGCTCCACTCTGGGAAGTGTCTGAAGTGGCAGCTGAAATCTTTTGCATCATGGATGAATCCTCAGCCAGTGTAATTTGGAGCCAGTGCAAGAGCCTGCAATGCTTTCCTGACTCCCATCAAAGCCTCCCGCACGCCACCGGAGGCTTCCTTCATTTCTAGGGGAACTGGGGGGATAAAAATTTCAGAAGCATCTCCAGGGACATGGAATTCCCTCACACCTGCTCTGAAGTTGAGAATTGCTTTTGTGAGACCAAAGACCTCAGAAAGCACAGGAGGACAAACCAGAAGGCGGAATGGGAACAAGGAGGAAGGGCTGGGTGGACTGGTGCTGCATGAACAGCACTGCACTGCTGCAGGGTATGAAGCCTGGAGGTGTACCTGGTGATCATGATGGGTGATTTTATGGGAGCTTCTTTTTATCTCTGTGGCTCTGGATGGGACAACATTGCACTCAAAACTGTCTGCTGCCCCAGGCTGAGCATGGCATGGGGATGGTTTTAATGATACCTTTTTAATACATTTCAATTTGAATAGCATGTTTACTGGAGTGGCAAATAAACCAGTACCCAAAAGCTGGGAGGTAGATTTAAGATAACTTTGTTCATAGTCTACAGGTGTTATAAGCCTGTGCACGCTGCAGTTTAAAACTAGCTGTGTTTCAGGCCACTGCAAATCTGACATTTCTATCAGATTTAGCACTCCACAGTGCACTCTGATGACTTTTACTACACTACAATTAAATAATGTTACATTGGATTGTTACAATTGCTATGGTATAGGCTGAGCTGAGTGCTCACACAGTTAATAAAAATGTGTGCTTTCTTGCCTGAAAAACCTGATAATGGCCACTATGAAAGTTTACATAGTGTCAGAAGTTATTTTTCACCAAAGATACATCTTGTTCTTTTTTTTTTCCAAAGGAAACTTTCCAAGAAATGTTGTAAATTTAAGCAACACCATGATTTTTCATTTTCTCATTCCCATGGGGACTTCAGAGAGAGAGCCTAGAGGGCAGCTTGTGATGTTTCTCCTGGTCTTTGGTCCAATAGGGATTCAAAGGGATATATGACATATTTATACAGGAGAGTGGAAAAGAGCCAGGAAAAATTAGGAACTGTACATACAAGCAAGTAAATGTCACCTAGCAAGCACCAGATTTAGGAGTTGGTAGCTGACTGTATGCATGCACTAGCCCAACCCAGTTGCAAGGCAATGTGATTTAGCTTACACATCTTTATTTGAGGTTTTTAAGCTCAGAAGCATTACCTCACCACTTGGCCATGTCCAGAGCAGGCATAGGGATAGTGAGCAGAACTCAGCTGATGAGTGTTAGCTTATGGACCTGTTGAACCAGATCTAGTGCCTGAGCCTTCTAATATCTGGCACACTAAAATGCTGTGTGCTGGGACAACTGGCAAGCACGTCAATGCTCTGTCTTCTGCACCATTTTTGCAACTGTGACATAAAATCAACTGTGATCTTGCATGGACAAGAAAAGTTACTCTCTGTTCTGTGAAATGTAGACTCAAACTTAATTTAAGCTGTAAGGATTTGTTGGATCAGTGCTGATTTTAATGCTAAATTGAAAAAGTAAATCTCAAGAAACAAAATAGCTGTCTGAATACAGTGTAGAATTTATGTTGAGAGATATCAATTTGGACTAAAAATAGTCACAAATTTGGAGAGTTTTTCATCAAGTATATTATTAAGACAGTAGAAAATATTGTTTTTCTGAAGTGTATCCACAGGGTTCAAAATCAGGAATGCCCATAACACGCTTTTGAGCAAAAGTACATTAAATAAGCAAATTCCTAAGTGATGAGCTTGGGAATGTGACCAGACACTTCCACTCTAGTAAAATAAAGGGACCCCCATGCATAGACCCAAATATTATCACACAATTATCCATCTCATGAACTCATACCTGGTGTGATTTTACCAGGATGCTCCCTGTGGATCAGCAGCTGTTCCCAACAGACAGCTTGGGAACGCTCCTCTAGTTGTGTTAAAGGAATGTAAAGAGTTGAGCTTTGCTCCATGCTTAGATGAGAAAGTCAGATTGAATTTGTGAGGTAACTTTCCTATTTCTGTACTCATCTTTCTGGGAACACTGATGTCTTTTTTTTCAGAAGAGGATACACCCACAGTTATCCTCGTTGGTTTGACCTCTGCAGAGAGTTGTTATAAATCTCTGCAGCTGGAACTGAGCAGGGAAACTCTTCCAGATTTTCCCAATCTGCTTCTCATATGAGGTCGAGGCCACAGTTCTGAATCTCAAAGCCAGCAGCAGGTCATGAGTTGAGGGACTGCTGACTGAACCTACACCTACGACCAAGCAAGGTGGCTTGGCTCCTGCCAGACCATGCAACTCCATAAACCCTATGACAAAATGCTTGAGAGCCAGGGATGAATTTTCCTTTGGTTAGGGTAGTTTGATAGTAAGTCAAGTCATCAGAGAAGCTCACACCATTTTGTACATGGGTAATCTCAGGACGCAAAGCAAAATTTTTCTCTCTTGCAAAGCTTTCCCAGCAAAACATGACCAACAGGAAAAAAGAGAAGTAGGGCAAGACGTCAGGCTACTCTCCAGCTCACTGTGAAGAGTTGTTTCCAAACAAAAAGAGAGCTTGAGAAATTAATGAGGAGTGTTGTCACGGGAAGGACATAAATGTTATGATCATGAGCACCGAGGAAATGCTGTAAAATAGATTAATCAGGCAACCAGCAAGGCAAGAGTGTCAGTTTGGACTAATGGGGTGAAGCCCCTTGGGTTTATTTTCTGCTGGAGTGTTTTTTTTGTTTGTTTAAATTCTCCAGGTCCCATACTGTCCATTTCTTTCTTGTCTATTCCTTATTAATTAACAAATCCAATATAATGAAATGCTGGGTTACAAGCATTTCAAGTCACAATGTTGAGCCATCACATTCACAGCTTATTTGTTTCATGGTTGCTGTAATGATGCAGTCAACTGGATTACTTAGGTCCTGGTGACTTTCTTGGTGAGTCCATTCACCATTTAAAGTTAAGGATCTGATTGACTGTGAATCATTAAGTAAAACAAAAAAATGGTGGGAAAACTGCTTCTAGCCTATTCTCCCACCAACAATGGAAGTATTATTCTACTGCTCTTGGCATATGTGCCACGATCTCTAGTAGGGAGGAATATCAGCTCTCATTGTAAGAGTTGCTGAGATTCCTCTAGCAGTGGCTGAAGTCATGATCTGACCTTGTAATGCAAAAGCCAATATGGAAGATCAGCGACCTGTCTCAGACCCAGACCTGCAGGATGTGTCCTTTTCACAAGTAGTGAGCTGTGATTCCTCAATTTTCAGTCCTGGGTGATGCATGGTTATTTCAACATGTTGTGGCTAACCAAAGGAAACCAATATTTATATGCTTAGCCACACTGAAATATTTGAATTAGATACACATTTGTCACCAGCTTATTCTGAGATAATTGTGGCAAAGTATTGATTTGTTGTGCTCATCAGCTCTTATCCCTGGACTTCGCTACTTTTCTCCCCCAGGAGTGCATAACAGCTTATAACAGTAATAACCACTACTGAGAATAAAATACTTTATTAAAATGAGCTGAGAGAACCTATTCTTCTTAGCAATCCCTGTTTTTATAAGGGAAAAATAAAGGAATGTTCTTGTGAAGAAGAGCACCCTGTGCTCTTGCACACTTTTTTTCCTTACTGTTTGAAAGGGGAGAAACATCTTACCTGTGAACAATTCCCTGGCAATGCAGGTGCTCTACTGCAGATAGAATTTGCCAGATGTATCTCCTTACTTCCCATTCTGCCAGCCTCTTTTTGTCACAAATTCTGTCCAGGAGGTCGCCACCAAGGCACAGTTCCATCACCATGTAATAGGAGTTGTCAGTCTCCAAGGTCTCATATAGCTGAACAACATTGGGGTGCTTAATCATCTGGTGTACCCGCGGCTCACGCTTCATGTTTTTTAAAACATAGGAATCCTGCTTGGCTTTCCTCTTGTCAATGACTTTTATGGCTACCTAAATGGTAGGATATTTGCAAATTAGCAACAAGCTTTGCAACCAAGATCAGTTTTCAAAAGGGTAGGGAGTAAGCTGATATGGGAGAGGCTGTTTTTAACATAGCGTTGATAATCAGTATCACAGAGGGAGACATTAGTGATGGAAGAATAGAGTTTTTATTTCTCTTGAAGACCAAAACAGAAAGGCTGAACTCTGTCTTAACCATACCTCTCATTACATTAATAAATATGCGCATACGAAATATTCTGAAATGCAAAAGATCCCTACATGCTCAACTGCATCTGTAAAGTAGCACATCTATTTTCTAACATACTCCCCTGCAATTTAATCTAAAAGTCACTCAAGATGCTGGGTGTTATGGGCTGGGGTTAGACTCCTTGCAGTTTGGGGAGCTAGTTGGACAGTGAAGCTATTGAAGCCACAAGAAAAGCAAAATTCAAAAAGTCACTTTATAGTAACACACCTTTCCACACTTGTGTCTAGCGGTACATTATTTTAGCCTGACTGAGCTAGAGATAACAGAGTTTATCTGTGTCCTGCCATATAAATGACTGCTATTGGAGTGTCTAGCTTTTCACTAGTGTTGTCCATAGTTTTAAAGGTCAGACACACAATACTAATTACTCAATAAGGATTATTAGGGAAAGCAGATTTGAGATTTTATGCCATCATCCTTCTTTCAGCAGGAAGGTATCTTTGTTGCCTCTATTTTGTAATTGTGAAAATAGTTGCACTCAATACATATTCACACATGTGACTGATTATACATGAGCAATAAACCCAGCTTATGTGGTTAATTTATGAGGATAAGGTTCACAGGATAATTCACTGAGTAGTCTGTGGTTTGCAGATTAAATAGTCTGAAATTTTCTGCCATAAATTAGCGTGAGGTTACTTGCTATTCCTAAGTGTGTATTACACTCTCATCATAAGCTTACCTTCTCCCCTGTGGGGATGTGCAGTCCCTCCATCACTTTGGCAAAGGAACCCTTGTTGATCATTTTGCCTACTAGGTAATTCCCAACTTGTTTGGAATGAGGGAAAGTCTTCCCGGTCTCTTGGGGCATCTTGTTAAAACAGGCAGGTATTTTTATATCCTTTTTCTCCCATTCTGGTAATATCCCATCCAAATTGCCAGTATCTGTCATTTTGTCATCCAAGCCTGCTTTTTTTGCTGTGGGCATCCCTGGAGAGATAGATTTGTATTGCTACTTTCCAAATGTAGCTTGTGATTCACAGCAGATCCAGGTATCAGGTCTGTGCCATCCTGCTGATGACAGAGCAACTAATCCTTTCCCCCTGAGACTCTGGGTTTGTCACTGATCTCTAGTCTGGGCACACAGATCTGCTCAAGCAGAACCAAGTCGTAGATTATTAACCTAACCTGATATACGATGTCAGTTAATGCCCCAGACCTGCCAAGTCAGATGACACATAATCCCAGCATTAGCCTCTCTTCCTCCTCTAATAGTTCCCAAAACATATGTTTATTGTAAGTTGCACCAAACTAAACTGAGTCACAGTTTTCCTGGTATGCATATAGCTGGTGTGCAAGGACACAAGTTTATTCTAAGAACACTGTGGTAACATGAATGCAAAGCTGAGTTATGTACCTGATGCTGTGCAAGAATTTATTTATTTGCTGTGTAAAACATAAAAATATATATGCACTTGTAGCACATTTCAGTCCTGACCTGACTCCAGGTCTTACAGATGTCTTTTGCGTTTTGTGGGACACGATTCCTGTTGTCTGTGCAGTAAGGACAGTGAGAGTGTGTGTGTGTGTGTGTGTGTGTGTGTGTGTGTGTGTGCTTTTTCCTCCATACAACAAGGACTGATAAAAAGAGGAAAATTTGAAAAAAAGAGGTCTTTTCTTTTCTACAGCTGTTATCTATCTTTATGTCTTCATTACCTGGGTTCTTTCCAAAGTCATGGAGAGAGAAAAGAGCTTTTCCAAAGAGTGCTTTCACATACCTGCAATTTGAGCTGGGAGTTGCCATCTCTCTCCACTGACTACAGTGAAAACTTTGGGACCAAAGCCCTTCCCAGAACTTAGTGCGATGACAAATCCTTTCTCCACCCTTCGTCACTTGGAGTTGAAAAATGAGTGGTACCCTGCTTGCCTGATTTGACTTCTGAGGCTCATGAAGGGCAAAAATTTCCCAGAATGAGTGAAAATTAGAAGGAATTAAAAAAAAAAAAGTGGTTAAAATTCCCAAATGGATTTACATTATGCTTTGCAGTTCAAACTCTCATGGGTGAATTCAGTGCATTGCCATCTGTATGCAGCTGCTTGCAGGCATAGAGCAACCACTAGCCTCTTAGTGTCTAAGTAAAAGATAAAGTCCCACAAAGCTGAGCAGGCTGTCACACTTTGAGATATATCTGTTGCCCAGCTGGAATTGGAATTTGTTTGATAACTTAGGATGAAGCCTGAAACAAATGAGACATTTTTTTTGAGGGAAGAACAAAGAAATTGTCCTTGATTCGTGCTTAATATTTGCTCTGCCTCTTCTCTGTTTTCCTAAACCACTTTCCTCTAAAAACAGGAAAATAAAAGTGAGGCCAACCACTATATAGAACAGAAACACCATGTTTCTGGCACATTTCAGAAGAAAGGAAAAACCTCTTAAAAAATATAACAAATATTTAAAACACGATAGCTAGCTAACTTAGCTATTGCTATTTTTGGGGAGAGTCCTAGCCTGACACCTTTAAGAATGTTGAAATCACAGAGCTTCCAGATACCTTCCAAAGTAACTTTTTTGGCACAGAGAAGGATTAAAAAAAGGAAGGCAGGACAGAAGGAACAAAAGAGGGTCCATCTCTGTGGAAGGGAGTCAATGACTAGTGATCACAAGCCAAGTGAAGCTGAAATGCTGGCTGAGAAGGGAGCAGCCCACTAGGTGCTAGAAGCATCTCTGCTCTATGATTAAGCTGTTATGTGATGTGCCGCATTGCAAAGTGAAAAAAGTGTAAGAAGAGACCAAACAGAATAGATCTCTGAGAGAAGAGAGGTGTCAATGAGGAATAATCTTCAGAAGGGAAGAAGGGTTAGCACTATAGAAGGAATGACCACCTTAATGGCTTAAAAACCAAACAGCCCTCCTTCCCAAACGAGCCTCGTGGAGTAACTACCTTGCATTCATTTGCAGGATCACGTGGGAGGGGAGACAGTTCTGCTTCCTTGGGAAGTTAAAAAGAACCAACCAACCAAACACACAGATCTGAAAAAGGTATACACTTTTCCTATCAGCAAGTGAAAAAAAAATAAATTTTGAATAAATTGGAGACTACTTCTATGTTTAAGAAGAAAAATTTTGCTTTATCACTCCATATTCTTACTATCCTTCTAGGGAAACTGAAATGAAGACTGTTTCTCGAGATGTCTGTGTTACTGATCCAGAAAAGAGGAGGCGGTGCAGGACTTCACTTTATGCAAAGGTCAGGCTAGTTAAACAATCTCATTGGGTTCAGCAGAAATAAAACACCAGAAGCAGGAATTTGTCACTTTCACTTTCCAGCCACCATCTTAGATTTCCTTCTGCGAAGCAAAATCCTGCCTGTAGCTGTTTCCAAATCTCTTCTTGTTTTACATTAGAGATGAGGCAATGTGGTCCTAGTTTCTGGTTTTTTGCTATTGCAGGATGAAGCCTTGGTTTAATCAAAGGCTGTGGTTTACTTCTTGGAGGAATTCTTTTTGAAGTCCTAATTTATGCTCCTGTGAATACTGCCAGTTTTGTAAGATCTAGTGTGAGATTTTTCTAAAGGGCCAAAATGTCAGACTCCTAGAGCTGTGAATTTCCTCCAATTTGACTCAAGAGTTCCCCCAAAACCTGGATTTCTGGGATTGCAGACGATATGCTCTACCTAAAGACGTGCTTTCCACAGGCACCGTGGACATGCCAACTTGGTGGAGTCTGTGTTGCTGTGTGGGAGCAATGCTGCAGTGGGCTGGGAGACAAGGCTTATTAGTCAGGGAACAGCATCCTGCTGGAGACAAGTCTGGTTAACTGGGAGGTAGAATCCTGCTCTCAGGACAAAAGTCATCATCTCCTTCTGGATCGACATTGTGAAGGAGGTGTACTGGCATGCACAGAACTAATGAGAACACCTCTTTTCCAAGAGTGGTGCTTTAATAGACACATATTCTTTGGTGCTTTAGCAATGCTCCCTACTTCCTTGACCTCTTTCCCACTAACTGCTGCTGTCTACTGCTTGAGGTATTAGTGGTGCTGGCTTAGGTCCTGAGCTTGACCCACTGTGAGGGTCTTGAAAGTTGTGAACAGATCATATTTCCACACCACTTAGGTTACCTGGCTGCAGGATGTAGGCTCAGCAGCTCCTTCTAAGACTGAAAGCTTTTCAAGTTTTGTGCTAAGAAGCAGGGATTTCCTTTTCAGAGAAGGAAATCCAAGATGGTGGCATCTAAATGTGGTGAATGGAGCAAATAAGGGGAAAAAATTTGTTTGAAGACATGGTAGGAGGAATTTAATCTAAATAACAACCTCACAGTCTGTATCATAGTAACTCTCAGATCCTGGAACCACTTCTGTCTGTGTTTTATAATGTATGTAAGACATGCCCTTACTGCACTGTAACACCTACCATATTGTAAGTTATTTCTGACTTCTTATGCACTTTTTGGCAGCCATGAAGTTTACTTTAAAAGTTACTGCATGTGCAAGTTCAGCAGCTTTTCTGCAAGATTTACTTTACTGGCACGTGTTAAGGAGTGAAGAAGGCATGCACTCAAGGGCAGGTTCAGAGTCTCCTCCCAGAATAAAGTAAATCAGGGATTGCTCTCTTTTGAGCATCCCAGTATTTCCTTAGTCAAAGAGGTGTCTGTTCTTCACCACCAAAAGATCGGTAGAATCAGAAACATATGGGCTGTTATTTTCTTTGCATCAATCTGGTCCAGCACTCATGTAAGTGAATGGGAATATTTCTTTTGTCTTCATAAGGGTTTGGATCAGGCTGTTAAAGGGTAAAAGACTTTATTCTCCATAATATAATAAATTTTAATTCATGTAAGTCTATTTCCAAGATGTCACTTGTGAACATATTTAACTCACAGAATCCATACAATCACTAAATTTACATCTGATTCTACACTGATTCCTTAGGCTAGCTATTAAATTTAAAGATGAATGGGTTTATTTTGGATAGTTTTTGTCTTCTGCCATGCAATATATGCTTACTAGATTTGCAAAAAGTTTCTCATGCATATTCACGTTTATTTTAATATAATTTTCCATTTCTAGGAAAGAAAATTGCACGCTTTTTTAATTGTCCATATATACTGATTCATTATACATTTTAGATGGAGGTTTTTTGTCAGGCCTATATTTTCTCCAAGTGAGGGTCTCTGTTTTTCAGACACATTGGCAACTTTGGTCTAGTAATCCTTACTTGATTCTTTGAGATAGCCTTTACAGTTTCATTCACGTTTCAGTATAGTGTCAGGTTCTTGAACATACACAAGAATGTCAAAATGAAGAAGCATCCTTAAGTCTTCAAACAAGGCCAAAACTAGATACCTGGAGTCAAGCATGTCAGGTGAAGGCTTTGTGATACCTCTCAGAAACACATCCCAGTACCAACCACTTGCCACTCAAGGGCTTTATATGCCAAAGGTGGCTTCTGTTGACTATTTGCAACACTATTTACAATGGTATCTTTCAAACCCTGTGGATACCCACAGATTTTGTCTTTAAATCCCGGATATTCTTAAGTGTTATGCTATGATGAGAGGTACTAGTCCTTCATGTGTGTGTGGACCAGGAATGGCAGAAGTACCTCTGCAATCTACTATCAATTTGGCTTGAAGAAAACCATGATGGTAGAAGCAACAGTAAGTTCCCAAACCCAAATTATATTTGGTATCTACCACCAAAAATGCCCATAGGTTATGTTTATATTAATCTTTTGGAAAACGAACTGAGACATTCTGCTCTTTTCACAAAGGTATTAAGAAGTCCTGGTCAGAGATGTGAGGTGAATTCAGATTGCTGATAGAAGTGAAGAGTTTCAAAGATCTTGCTGAAACCAGCGTTATTTTTTCTGTTATATCAATTTACTTTTTTTTCTCTTTAAAAATTGCTCTAAAGGACAAAATAACACTTTCAGCTTTACTCTCGAATCATAAACATCTAGTGCAGATTGTGAAGAGTTGGGTTTGTTG